TTGATATTGCGGGTGTCAGCGGCATAAGTTTCGTCACCACCAAGTGTGCCTGCGTCCGTTCCGTACCCTCACACTGTAAAAATCCTCTACAACGGGAGTAGGTTGGGTCAGGGCAAAGGTTAACCAGTGAAAATTATTCTTCGAGGTGGGCACGGTGCCTAAGGAATCTGAATATAGCATAAATCATAACAGTTAGTACAGTATAACGTTAACCAAAAAATAATCTTTTTCTTCGAACAATAACAACATTCAGCATAATCAATAATAACATTTACTCTATTAACTGTCCTTTAACTTGAAATTGCAAACAATACCAACCACTTTGCAACTAATCGCTTAGATTATTCAAATTTCTACTACTTCAACAATGTTGACCTCATTGTCCATTTCTACAGCTGCTACTTGAGCTGCCTTCTTCTTTCGCTTTGGTTTCGCCGCCGATTGAGCTTGGAGCAACTCGTGTATTCGGCCGTGATAAACTTACCACTAACCGTCAACGTTTTCCTTGTCACATTTTTTCGCTTCTTCTCAGTTGGCAAAAGTAGCAACTGGGTACGAACTAAATCGATACGTTGCAGCCACGATGTTTGCACTGCTTCGTCGTCCACTTCGGCAGGCGTAAAAATCGACAGCCGATACAGCATCTTGTCCAACGACGGGGGACACAACCCACTGCACAAAAAGCCATTGATAATTGCTGCTTGACTTGTATCCTGAGCCCAAACGTAACACGCGATCTTGATTGCCTTCTGCTTGCTGATGTTGGAGCTGACGTCAGTCCAACAGTGGTCAGCGATTTGGTTTCGGATCGCTTGTTTGAACGGTAGGAAAACTGTCGCATCCAGGGGCTGGAATAGATGGTTCGCGTTGGCTGGTAAGAATTGCAGCAAAATTCCCAATGGCGTGGCAGCGTCGTAGATGTACTTGAAGTAGTTTTGAGCACCCGTCAAAAATCAACAAAACTGGCCGCGCGACAGACGATGGGATACTCGCGCTGAGCATGGACATCCACTTGCGGCACATCAACGAGTTTGTCCATCCCTTCTCCGACGTCATAATGGCGGCTCCAGGAATGGTCAGACTGTCGCACGCTTCGGTAGACACCCGGTCTCCAGGGAGGACGAACAAGGGAGGGATCTTGGTTCCCGTCACAGACACGCACGCCACGATTGTCACATGCGCCGACACCGGTGCTTCCTCGACGAAAACATCTTTCGATGTGCGTTGAACATCAACTTTTCTTGGTGATTTGGTCGGTGAGAAGCTTGTCTCGTCCAAGTTGAAGACACGTGATGGATCCATGTCAACCAGCGAAATTGATTGCGACAGCTCCCAGTAGAAAGCCTTAACTGCCGACTTGTCAACCGCATTTCGCGGCTTGCTGAGGGTCTGGACTTTGAGGGTTTTCAGATCAGGGTGTCGTTGGAGGAATCGTTTGTACCATCCGCTTGTTAGGTTCGTTCCGTTCGTTGTATCATGCACGACATCAAGAATCTTGTTTGCTTTCTGTACGTTTTCACGATAGCCGACAGGCTTCCCATCGCGCTCCATGCCAAGAATCCAAGTAGCCAGGTCTTCGTCGTACTGCCGCCGTAGGATGGGTGCTCGACCGAAAGGTGTTGGTATTTCGATGACGCCGGGGGCAGCTTTTGCCAAATGTTTCCGAAGCGTCCGCGATGGAGCACCATAGGCCACCGCAGCAGTTGATGCCGTGGGACGGCCTTGTCCATGGTGACCTGTGTGTATGGCGTTCTTGGCGGCATTTCGTCGGTTCATATTTTTCCCTCCATTTATTCATGCAGGTTAAATTTATCGAGAGGTTGCCTTTTGTCCAATCAGAGTTGATTGGCGTTTTAATTGGATGAAATAAGTTGGCCTATCAATGGTGGTTCGGCCCATATAACAATGCACTGTTCATCGACAACAACAAAAACAAGATAAGCTTACAGTACAATCCACACAAACGTTATCTTAGCGTTATTAATTGTTAATAAACCTGCATTAAAACACAAAGTAGGTTATACATGTATCCACATCATCGAGGTTGGCGCCCAAATCTGCACCTTTGGGGGGAATCAGCTTGTTGCAATTCACTTCCCCTCACTTTCCATTTCGTCAGCCATGCCTGTGAACACCAACGCTGTACTCAACCGTCTCCAAGACCAAGCAGTGCGAGATCAATCCTACCTTGAGTCATCCCTGCATGACTTTGGTGAGGTCTCGCACTTGCGTGACGACTGCGAGGAGCCCCCCGAAAGCCCAATGATGGACACGTTCTTGATCGACTTGGGCTCTGAGGGTATTAGATCTATGACCAGCTTTACTGTCACCGAGCTCGAGTCGCTGTGGGCGAGGGTGGACGATGCTATGAACACTGCGTGGATGGAAGGTCGTGGCCGGCGCTCAACGACTAGCCCCAAGGACGCGCCTTTTATGGCCCTCACCGTGTTGAAACACTTTTCAACATGGGAAAAACTCGCAGCTGACTTTAGGTACAAGGCGCCAACCTTCGAGAAGCTCGTCATACGCGTCCTACACGCTGTTCAGCCTGTGCTCTACGGCGAGTTGATTCGAGTTCCATCCATGCCCGATCTGTCCAACTCGGACCGACGATTTGACCACTTTCCGTACGCGTTGTATGCTGTCGACGTAACGTTTCAGCCAGCACGGCGTCCAAGGGGACGCTTTGCGCAGCAAAAACATTTCTTCAGCGAGAAGCACCATCTGTACGGTTACAATATCGAGGCAAGCGTGTCATCGGAAGGCCGATGTGTGGCAATGTCCGAGAGTTTCCCAGGATCTGTGCATGAACCTGACGATATTGCACACCCGCACTGTCGTTCACGCGACCAACCTGTTGAAGTCGGCGGGTGAGCAGGATATGCAAGACTATGGGGAGTTGAGTGCGCAGTACCGGGGGTCGTGGGCGTGTTTGGTCGACATGGGCTACATCGGAATTGCCCACTCACTGCGGGGAAATTCATCCGAAGTGTCGCCCGGTTAACGGCGTATTGGATGCCCATGATATGGATCGAAACCACGACATCTCCTCCGATCGGGTAGTTGTGGAGAACGTTTTCGGCCGCGTGTGCGTGCTCTCTGGAAGATTTCGTTGGCTACGTACACTTGGGGTGAGAAAAACTACAACACGATCCAGCGCACGACGTTCGCATTGACGAACTTCCACCTCTCGTTGATGCCATTGCGCGCGGAGGACAAAGGGTTTTACAGGTCTGTAATTGCTCGTTACGAGCAGATGGCGAATGAGAAGAAGCGCAAGCGCAGTGAAGCTCAACGCCGCTATCGTTTGAATCGCCAAGAGAGATTGCCCATTGACAGCAACCGCGCTACACGCTTTCTGTCGCCATCGATGAATCGTTCGAACAATCGTTCGAACAGCAACTATTAGATGATGGATGAATACCATTAATAAAATAAAACGTGTTTGCTGATCGATTTGATTTGGTTCCATAGGATTTAAATAATCGGCTACTGCATTTTTGATCAGTAACCTAGTCTCTTTGAGTTGCTGAGCTCTTGATTGAAATAGATATATCTAATTGGTAGCAAAGTGCATGCATATTTTGACATTTACTGACGAATTAAAATACTACTACGTATTAATACTTAAAAGTACTATTGTGCTTTTCATGTAGTTTGCCCGTTGTTTAACTGCGTTAAACAACCAGACGTTTAAAATAATATAAGCCCGATTGAAGATAAAACAACGCTAAACACAAGTTTTGCATTTCAGCAGAATAAAACAACCCTTACTTTATTTCAGCTGCTAAACTAATCGAGTTGCAGCACCAGGCCAACTTACGCAGTACAACCACCAGTTCATCACGATGCATACCGTATTAGGATGTGAAATGGGAGTACTATACATCGTGTAGTCGTAGTGCGCCCTTGCCTTCCACGTACAGTGCTAAGGTTAGAGCAGATCAAGAGTTGAAGGTATGGCATAGCTTTGAATCATTGGACAGAGCGACGACTATATGTACTGTAGCCTAACTATATCCTTAACGTTATATACATTACTCGGAGTAGATAATGTTAGTACTGTAGTGATCACGGATGGGAGGTCATGTATGTGGCCG